ACCGCGACTGGACGCCACACTACAATGGTGTTAAAGTTGACGATGATCGCATTATTCGCGGTTCTGATAAGGTAGTTCATGATCAGAGACTTATTGCTTTATTAATCGTTTAATAAAGAAGAATATTATGGCGAATCCAAATAAGTGTTCATTTATTGTATCTAGTTTTGAATGTCTTGGATACCAAGTTGATGGCAATAGGTTTAGACCAGATATGAAACTACTAGATCCACTCAAAAATGTACCATCTGTAAGACATCTTACAGAACTACATTCATTAGTGGGTGCTCTTCAATACCATTCCCGCTTTCTTCCTAATTTTTCTTGTCCTCCCAAATGTTTATTTATTATTTTCGCATATAATCCACTTAAATGTAGTGGGGAACAAAAGTCATGCTTAAGAAGTCCACTAAAGTTTCTCCAAAGTGACGCTGTTCTTCTAACTTACTCACCTAGTATATATTCTGTAGTTATTACTGATGCGCCAGCAGTGGGTGTTGATGCAGTTTTGGAGCAGGAAGGCAGAACAGTTATCTGTGTTTCACTGATACGTACTGTTACTAAGCAGCGTTATTCACAAACCCAGCGAGAAGCATTTGCTGTGTTTCGGGCTGTTAAGGGACTTGATAGATATGTATTTAGAAAGAAGTCACCATTGTTACTGGTCATGAAGCTTTAAAGTAAATTTATCATCCTGAAAAATTTCCAGCATATTCCTCAGCTGCCATGGTTGAATAGTGGAGTATTGATTTCAGTGCCTATAACTATACAGTTCTGCACAGCAACGCCAAACAAGGTCAACACGTTGACTACATTACTCATCAGTCATCACAAGATGGAACTGTTAATACTTCAGACTGTTTGTTAGTGCAACCTTTACCGCTGAATCATCCTGATCTCATCAGAGAAACTCGTAGATACTTTGAATGTATACTCAGTGCTTACGGAAAGTTTGGATTGCCAATCTGAAATGTAGATTTCCTGTCTATTTTTCAAACGTGATGAGTTATCTACCACTCATGATGGTAATTTGTGTTTAAATGGCCGTGTTATTATCCCTCCTTCATTAAATAAATCTGTCCTTGGCAGGACCCACATGTTGGTTACCGAAGACAAACGCAGACATAGGTCGTACAGCAAACCATTGTGAAGATGTTATGAGTTAAAAAATCATCGTTCAAGAGGAATTCCATGACCAGTATCGTCCGAGGCCTTGTAGAGAACTCATGCAGACTATTATGGTCCATTTCCTGACAAATACTATGCAATTGTAGTAAATGGTTCTTTTTCAAAGTGGTCTGAAGTTTTTTTCACCTCCCCAAATTTTGACTTTACAATCAAAGCATTAAGAAAGGTGTTTAGTCGAGAAGGGGTCCCCATGGTGTTAGTGACCGATAATGGCTCTCATTTTGCTGCAGATGCAGTCACTACCTGGTTGAATGGTATAGGGTGCAAACATCTGTTCACTGCTCCCAGGCACCCTTGTTCTAATGGTCAGGCAGAAACTTTTGTCACGACATTGAAAGCTTTATTGATTCTGATGGTGCTTCAACATTTAATGAGCTTGGGAAGAGAGTAGTTACATTTCCACTGTAATACAGAAATACTAAACATGCTGTGGCAAGAAAGACTCCATCAAATCCATTAAAATGAAGAATTCTTCATTCTAATGTGAGGTGTTTGGAGTTTGTAGAAGTTACATATTGTCGTGAAAATTATCTTCAATCAGCCATGATACAAATCCACGAAGTCACTGACAAGTGGACTGGTAGGTGTAGACTACCTGGTTGTGATCCGCGAGACAATAGCATCCGATAGTTGGAGACCCTGAATGACATGGCTCAAAATCGTTTGCGATGGCGCAGGTGCATCCATTCTTTGTGTTCTCGCAAATTCTTATCTTCCAAATTCTTCATTTCCCTTTCTTATTGCTCCGAATTCATTTCACTGGACTCCTTGAATAGCATCTTCAATCCCTAATCTTTTAGATTACTGCATATACTATACTACCTCTACCACAATGGGGTTTGAATCGACAATTGTATCTATGTACTAATGTGGTATGGCAACATGAGCTTATGTACGTACGTAAGAAGTTGTACGTTGTTGCTGACTGACTGAAGGGGATTGTGATGAAAATGTCGAGAAACTTGTGGTGCGAATTCCAAATAATAATGGCTTAGGACACACAACCGAAATGTTGACCAATTACAATACAAGGAACCAAATAAGTCTGTTTCAAGTTCAGTTATTAATTCTAATACTAATGAGTACATTCCAGATAATACAGAGTCTACATTCGATACACTGTCGGACAGTCCTCAGGCTGAAATTATGGAGAAGCACAATTGATTACAGACACTTCGACTTCAATCAAATCTATGGTGTCTTAGTAAGACAGAACTCCACCGTGGCTTGACTGTGAAGGATTTAATCTCATCGAATATGAGTAATATGCTGAAGTCAAACTATCCTGATTCTAAAAGTAGAAAACGGGCATGATTTGTAGAAGCTCGAAGAGTAGGTCCGTATCATCTAACCAGATAACTCTATGGAATTTCAGGTCAAAACACTGATTACAATGATTAAGAGAACCAATGGGTCTACTATGATAATAGTACTGCTTCATAATAGACCTAATCATAAAATTGTAGATTTGTTATGATGTAACTGCCTAATCTTTAAGATCACAGGTGGATGTCATGTCATTATCTACCCTGACTCATTCGTATTGTGACAGTCCTCAATATATGATGAAGAACACACTTAGACTGAAGATAATACAATAGATTTAATATGGATGAAAATAATGTGTCATAAGTAAGACCACTCTCCATCGTTGGGTTTTTCTCCGCGTTAAATTTTGAATATCTATTTTCTCAGTTGTCTCGTGTTTAGCTTTGACGATTGTGTGGTTGGGAGCGAATGTCACTACAATCTTACCTTAGAAATCGGGGTTACTTAATATTGACTTATCGTATACTGAACGATGACCTTGGTATTAATATGTCTTATCTTTTCCTCCCGTCTAGGACATTCGCAGAAAATTCAAAAAGTGGAGTTTTGTTTCTCGCATCGAGTAACGAATTACTGAAAATCTCTACTGGAACATGTATTATCAGCACCTGCTGTTGATATATTCAAAACAAGATTGAACCTCGACAGTGTTACAAACTGCAAAGTTTAATAAAGTTCGATAGACTTTCTGTCCTGATTACTGAATACTGACAACTAAAGACCAAGGGACAGACTCAGTTTATCATTTAATACACCAGATCACATAAGGTTCACCACTAAAAGCGCCACGGACATTTAGGTTTTGAAAACAATTTTTTCCAACACAACTTTGTAATCGATTACCAAAAACTGTTCAAACCAGAAAGAAAGAAGGAAGGAGTCCGAAGATATATCTGGAGGGTATGCGATATCCCAAAAAGTGTTTGATGTAAGCTGACCAGCAATTGTGCGAGACGCGTAACACAGCATACCTGATGGTGTTCTGCTGAAGATGCTTGACACAGAACATTTAGCTAGGGTGTGTTTAGTAAAATTAATAAGGTCAGCACTAATGTCGAAGACTTAGAGAATTGCTTACGTTTACGGCTTATTTGTCTTTACGTGAGTGGAAGCAAACAGCGCCCGTTACCATGAAGTAATGTGGAAAGTAGAGTTCCTCAAGCTACATTACTAGGTCTTCTTTCTTTTTTACTTTATATGAATGGTCTAACAAGACTCGCAGAGTCTTTGTTGGAAGTTTTACCGATGACATTGGAAAGTGGAGACCCGTAAACATGACTGATAAGGAGGACTTTGAAGATGCCACAAGTATTTGTAGTTTGACAACACTTTAACCAGTAACAGCTTCTATAATTGAATCGTGCTCACCAAGTGAAATCAAAAGTCAGAAGCGAGAAGGTTGGGAGATATATTTGATATGTTACCGATATTCCGAGAAGCGACTGCAGGAGAAGTTGAGCATGGCGTTCCCACTCGTTTTCTGGTGTGGATGCGTGACCGAGCATCTTCAGCTAGTGGAGTTCATCAAAACTAATGTATTCAGCATTAGATGTCGAAGACTTACAGAGCTATTTATTTTGAGGATTTATTTACCGCCACAAGTTGAATCCAGTGGTTGAGTAGACAGATCGATACTCATTAGAACCAAGCTATGGAAAGTGTTTAATAGTGTGCCCCAGTAGTTGAGACGATCTACATAACTACATAGTGAATGAAAAGAGAGATTGATTCTCAAAATGCTACAAATCTCCAACTTAAGCGTAGATCACTTAACTCCAATCCTTACTTATGAAGTTTAAAACATGCCGGTGAATGGTCCTTTCTCACAAGAACTCGACAAGTGTTCGGAGTTCGACAACGCCTTAGCTGGTAACATTTTTATAATCAAAGTATGCCAACCCAGTCAAGTCAGGAGCTAAGAGTTTCAAGGATATATTTTACAAGCTATCGATATATTGAGAAGTGATTAACCTAAGACATAACTTCTACTCCTTAAGAGTTGTCAAAAGCTGGAATTCGCTGCCGGCCGAGCTAGTCCAAGCGACTTCTCAGGAGTCCTTCATGAGGCAACTTGACCTATTCTTAAGGACCAAGGACAGCATCACACCATGGTTTACCAATTTCTTTTCCTCTTTTATTGTTAACATACCTAGGTTCCTGCCTGGAGGATTTGGTGATCCCCTGCTACTAGACACGGAAGCCTGTTAAGCGAAAGCTTCTTCTATTCCGTCCACAACCGTTTGAACCATTTGACTAGCGGTTGTAGATGTACATCACGGCGTTCCCGCGCGAGATCTGATGCGGATGAGTGACCGAGGTGCTTTATTCACAGCCACATCCAGCAACCTTGATTCAGATCTCAGAGATAATCAGTTCTTTATTTGTACCCAACAAGGTTTGAATGTTTTGAATAATTGGTTCAAATGTTTGTCCAATTATCAAGGTCGCAATGTGAACAGGGGACTTGAGTGTAATCTGCATTCATGCTTTATGCTCGAAGCCTATGTACAAGTTTAGCCTGCGTTCTGAAAAACATGAATAAACGCGAAAGAAAGAATGCTAAAAAGGCTGCAGCTAAAGCTATATTGACTAAGAAACGACAAGAGAAGAAACGATTAGCGACTGACTTTGTGCATTACGAAAATTCTAGCATCAGTGACTACTACATTGATGGGATATTTAGAAAGGTTTGCAAATATTTCCGTACTCATCCTGATAGGTTTTCCCCTATCATTTCGTCTTCAAAGCTTATGCAAAGGACAGGTGGATTAATCGTAAGCTCCGTGATGTCCTGCAGTCTGAATTTAATAATAATTCTGATGAAGTAATCGTAAGGAATACCTTGTGTTACTGAAAAGAAGATTGTTAGGCACAGAAATGTGAATCAGGTGAAATCCTGGTAAATAATGCGAAAGTTGACCCTGACTATGTTATAAATGACAGTGATCTCCTTTCTCAAAAGGTTCATCGCCATGAGTGTCCTGTACTAAGTATGTTCATGTTTTAGTTCACTTTGCCTCCAAGATCTTCCCATCGAGTTTGTACACGATTCAGACGATATTCTGGTGGTCAATAAACCTCCTCCATACCTATTCATCCTTGTGGCCAGTACACACTTAACAGCATCACACACATTTTGGCCAAGGATTATGGTCTTCGTCCTCTACGATTTACCCACCGCCTTGATAGGTATGTTCATTCACTATGGGTAACGGTTCACCTAACAAAAGTATGTGGAGGTGATTGTGCTTTAGATTTTACATAAACGTGACCCACATTTGCTTTGATAGGCTCGCGAGACTAGTTTATAAATATACCAGCCAGATCTGAGATTGCGAATCTGGGATTTTGGAGCACAATTTGTTCGTCCTTATGGCTAATTATATGTTAAAACGTGGTGAAAAGTCAAGTCCTAATTCACAATCTTAACTTCTCTCAATCGCTCTCATTTGTTTAAGGCCTTATTTCGACCGCAGTAGATGTTTGACCCTCTTCTAGTACACTTTAGTATCGCTAAGGTTGTCTCCCATCAGGCTTTAAGGCAATAAATCCTCAATACTATTACTTGAATACCCAAGAGAAATCAAATGTTTAAGACATGAAGAAATAACTTGGTGTAGCACTACACTTAGCCGTTCGCTTATGGTTGATGCTCTTTTTTTGTATATGGAACTCCTAAAAGATTGACTACTTACACCTACAATTCATTGGCTTAGATATCTCCCACCCAATTCATTGTTGACTAGCTCTTCGAAACGACCATAGCTGTGGTATCAGCTCATGATGCTAGTAATTTTTAGTTTGATTTGCATGTGAAAGAGCAGACTGAATAGCCTTCTTGCGTGAAAATACATTGGTTAAGCACTGAGTCTCCAGATGTTCGTTTATAACTTGTTGCAGCGCTTATGTCAGTCGTTCAGTTTTAGTTCTTTGTGAGCTAGCTGGTTTACTGGGCAAAATTTTAATGATTTCATGCTTGATAGTTCTTAATTTGTGTATTCATCATGTTTTTACTCAAGTTTTTCAGTGATTATTTCTCATATGTATAGATGAGGGATCAGTATGCTTTCACCTGTACTTGTCTTTATAGAGAAGCTTCATTTTCATTATTCGTCCCAAGAAATAAATATTTTTTAGTCGTTAGTGGGGGTAATCAGTTGTCTTAAAAAAACAGGCCACCTAGGCACCGAAAAGTAGAGACAAACGATTATATGCCTAAAGCATGACGAACTTCCTTATGTGGTAAATATCTATTAGAACAAGTGGTATATTTGTAAACCTTGACTTACTACATTCCTAAGGTTTTTTTTAACCAGTTTACAGATCGATATTAAGGTCGGGACAGGTGAAGCTCAGAGATCGTAGTACTGTGAGCCTATTAAGTCGAGACCGTCAGTTTAATAATAACAACACAAGAGTAGTGACAATGGGACAATTTAAAATAGATATCAGATCCTAGTCTGAATTTTTGTCAAAATTGTCTGAGCCATGTTGGTAGATGCAGACTACTTGATTGGGGTCCGCGTGACTATCGTAACCAATGGTTGGAGACTCTTGGTGACATGGCTCAGAATCGACCACAATGACGTCGGTGTATACACTCTCTCTCACGGCCACGCGTATACAGCCTCTGCCAGGAAAGTACTACTCATTGCCTTCTCGTGGCGGGGTGTTGTTTACGAAAATGAGAGGACGAAAGCGAATGTCCGGCGCTTTAACTGGATCCCAAATCAGTGGTGCACATGGGCTCCAGTATCCTGCGGGAACAAATGGCGTATGAACCAATCGTTGGTCACCGGCTAACATGGGAATGCATCTCCTCACGATGCTCCACTGCCTTGTGGATCAAACTTTCAGGTCAAAGGCTCGGAGTGTGGCCGCCTAAGAGAAAACCACCTGCTTCGGTCTGGACACCCGGGCAGTATCACAGCCCACACACACACACACAAATATGGTGTGGCGCATATATATTTGGTGCCCTCTTGTACCGATATTTATGTGTTGAAATAATAATAATAATTCCCTTAAACTAAGAGATTCTTTTACGAACTAATTCTTTCTTCCTGTATTATATCCTTATTGCAATCTTTCTTTTATATATTACCACCTCTGAATTAACTACTTTTATGAATCCGGTGTCCATCTTGTTGTGTTAATGAAGTATGGTAACTTGGACCGATGCATATATGTGCCTAGTCCTGCGTTGTAGCTGACTGACTGACTGACTTTTGTCAAAATGTGGACACTTGCAAGCCCATTTTTTTCGTGCTGTTTCCAAAATCATCTTGTTACTATTTTTAATTTCTTGGTGAGTCTCTAACTTATAGTAATGTGACTTGTTGCAACTTAGATTCGTAGTCACTGTAAAATGTTGTCTGTGGAAAACCCGTTATTATGTCTTATGGGTAGCTGATTAGAATTCAAAAGAAATTTGTCAAATTGCTCAGGTTATTGCTTAGTAATTAAATTTTTACGAAATTCCAAATGCTTCCATATTATTTCACTTCCGATGTTCTACGAATTTTATTTTATTATTTATGTTTCTGTGTTGCATGAAGTTTAACGGTGATTTTAATTTGTCCTAGCATTTAACACATGGTATTTACACTTCATTTTCGCTTATGGTTTTAAAAAAATGATAGAATGACTTCTGGATTACTTTTAATCGCCAAGAACTACGACACATCTGTACGTCTGCAATCACAAATTAGTAGTAAGGAGGTTGCAAAAGTACGTCTTGTTTATCATATTTATCATTTCTTTCTATATCTAACTTAACGCATTCATATAGATAGTATCACTTTTTGATTTGAAGTTGGATTACAAGCTTGATTTTGATATTTTCACTAGTTCGATTCAGTATTTTCATGCTTCAGCATTTTGACTGTAACTCGGCATCTACGATGTGGCTGTTCAGTAATATTGACCTATAATTTAAGAGACTATATGATGTATATTTATCATTATATTGCATAAATTACAGTTCTTCCCATCAGTCTTCAAAACGAAATAATGAACTTTATAACTCAGTATATGTCCATGCCTTCGTCTATGATCTACTCTTTATTTGGAAAAATCATCGATATTATTAATTCACTAACTAGCTTTTCAATCCATAACCCATAAATTTCCATCTCAACATTTGATGTCAGCACTCACCTGACGATATTCACACCAGGTAGTAAATTAGAGTTTTCTAGGTTTCACCAGACTGACTGGTTGAAACCCCATATAAACATTCCAATACTATAAAATTTAAAGTCTGATAGTCGTGCATGAAGTGCTCAGTTATTGACACCTAGTTCAAAATATTCCAATGGGACATTTCCCACTAAGCTACTAAGTGCTATATGTTGAATGAAGCAAAGTTATGAGATCCAAGTTATTTATAACACAATTTACAGTAAAGTCACTCCAGCATAAAATTTTTTATAAAAATAGTACAAGACTTGCTGTTTCCACTTTTTCGAAGAATTAGATATAAGGATTTAAACGGGTTCTAATATAACCTTATGCTTAACAACTCGGTTATTTGAGTAGTTGCAGTCAACCAACTGTTTATGAATAGTAATTCTGACCGATTTCCTCCTGTCCCTGTTTTATTTATTTATTTATTTATTTGAACACATAAATATTGGTACAAGAGAGCGCCAATATATATGCGCCACACAAAACAATGAAAATTCGAAGAGAAATAGAAAGAAAAAAAAAACTAGGGAACGCAAAAGAAAAAGAGAACAATGACGAAGAGATTGGAGTAAGGTAGTGTGGTAGTAACGACGGAACGAAAAGGTACAATCAGAAGAAATCTTTCAGGTAAAGGAGACACAACCACTTTTTAGAAAGAAAGTAAAAGAAGGTTACAGCAGGATCGCCACTGGCTTCTATTCTGAGCCATATCTGATAACGTCTCTAGCCACTGTGTAGCACCATCTCTCGGACCCCAACCAGGGAGTCGTGAAGGACCAACACAAGCCAGTCCTTTGCAGCTTTCTTTCATGCCACGACACCATGTCATGCACTGACCACCTCTCCGCCTCTTCCAACCAGTCCCAGAGTCGGCAAATAATGCACGACGTGGAATTCTCTGGGACGACATTCGGAGAACATGTCCAAGCCACCGAAGTCGGTGTTTCAAGATGGTGACACCAATTGAGTTATCATCTCTGTGCCCGAACACACGATGCCGAACCTCTGCATTACTGACATGGTGTTGCCACTGAATGTCAGCAATCCTTCGGAGACAGCGATGATCGAACACAGAGAGTCGTCTAACGTCCTCAACTCGGAGAGGCCAGGTTTCACAAGCATAGAGCAAAACTGCTCTCACCGACGCGTTGTAGATCCGACCTTTTACAGCCAGACTAACATCACGAAGGCGCCAAAGGTGGCCCAGATTGGCATAAGCCGCTCTGGCTTTCACTATTCGTGCATTGATCTCATCACTCACACCCCCACCAGCACTTATGCAGCTACCCAGATACACGAACTTCTCAACTACGTCTATCTGCTCACCGTCCAGGGTGAGTACAGGATTAGAATCCTGCCAGTCTTGTAGAAGTACTTTGCACTTCGAAGGTGCAAAGCACATACCATACCTACGGACACTGATTGCCAACTGATTAAGTGCGGATTGCATGCCTTGGGCATTATCGCACAGTAAGACAATATCGTCCGCATACTCAAGGTCGAGAAGTCTTTCTCCAGGCAACAGATCCACACCACCATTACTTACATTCATCAGAGCTGTTTCCAGAATGTCATCGATGGCAAAGTTGAAGAGGAATGGTGAGATTGGGCAACCCTGCCTAACCCCACTGCTCGAATGGAACAATGGAGAGAGGTGGTTGTATGCCCTCACTCTGCCTGAGGTGTTTTTATACAGGGCTTTCAGGATGTTAATAAACTTCTCAGGCACACCCTTCTTCAATAGACAATCCCAGAGAACAGTCCTGTCCAACGAATCGAAGGCAGCCCTGATGTCAAGAAACACTACGATTGTTGGCCTTTGAAAAGTATGGCGGTGTTCTAACATTTGGCGGAGGGTGAAGATATGATCAATACATCCTCGACCAGAACGAAACCCAGCCTGCTCCTCGCGAGTCAATCTTTCTCGGGTTTTGAACAACCTACGAAGAATGACGGAAGCCAATAGCTTGGACGCAATCGGAAGTAAACTTATCCCCCGATAGTTGTTACAAGAACGACGTGAACCCTTTTTAAAGATAGGGACAACTATCGACTCATTCCATGACGTTGGTACACACTCTAGTTCCCAAACCTTTGTAAACAACGTCGTCAATTCCTTAGTCAAAAAGTCACCACCATCTTTAAAAAGAGCCGGAGGTAAGTCATCTGGGCCAGGTGATTTGTAACGCTTCAAGAGTTGGAGTTCCTTGCGGACTTCCTCCTCATTTGGTGGATCAGTCGTCACCGGCCATGGAGGGCAGGACAGTCTGACCGATGTTGCCGGAGCAGCAGGCCAGTTGAACTGCCCTTCGAAAAATTCTGCCCATCGTCCAAGACGTCGATGGATGTTAGTGATTGGCATCCCATCATCCTCGCAGATTGTTTCACTCACACCAGACTTCTTGCTGCCAGTGGCTCGGATGAGCTGGAAGAGCTTCCGGTAGTTACCAGATGCAGCTGCTGTCCTGTAAAACCAAGCTAGAGTATGTGCTCGCATTTGTGGTAGAGGCGAACACTGGCTCTGGTCAATGTACTTTCCTCCATTTGGAGTAGGTATAATAATAGATCCATATACAGGCTGTCAGACAGAGAAGCTTATCCTTTAGGGATACAGAAAATAGTCTCCTGCTTTTTGCACGGAACATCCTCCTAATTGCTACAGACAAAGAGTTCTTAAGTAAACCGGAAGTCTAGTGGATTCTGAATTCCAGATTCATATACAGGTGTCTTAGAGACGGGATTTCTGTAGTCCCCTGTTCGAGTTGTTCTCACTTATCCACGAAAAGGTTAAGATAGTTCTTACTTCGTTTTATCTAATAAGTCAACATTGGATAAAATAAGATAACTATGGCGTTTCAGTGCCTTTGTTTTGTTGTAAATTGTATTATACATAACTGTATGAATGTACCGCTTGAGTAAATGATATCGGTAGACATTTTTTCCTAATTTCCCTTATTTTCTGTAATAATGTTATAAATATCCTCTTTTAATAATTGTCAGACGTCTTGTTGGTTAAGATTTGGCTCCTAATTTAATCTATCTTAACATTTCAGTAAGGAATATCAAGTGAATTAGCTAGGTGTACCTATCCCCTTTCTTCAACGTAGCAAGACTAGTCTGTTAGTTCACATGTCTGTTTCTGAACATGTTACTTTTGCTCAGTAAGCCAATAGTTTACATCATTGTGTACTTAGTCAATAAAGTGTGTAGTGTAAGTTAATCTAAAAATTTTTGGAGTTTCCATGGTTTTGGTGTTATTTTTGTACACGACCTTATACATATTTCAACCCTAACCCATTATCGAGGCCGAGAAATTTGGAAATATTACAATTAAAGCGCGAATATCACCATGCAGTTAACACTAGATTTTACCATGAAATTTCATCTACAAATTATTCCGAACTAAGACGTATTCTTAATTAGCTATGCAATAAAAATAGTCTATAATAACGTTGTATTAAAGCTACTTCCTTGTTTTGTTTTCACTTTATAAGTATTATATATGTCATGTCGAAGGCTGTTTCCCAACCGAACCAATCAATCAATGTACTGGCTTTGAGATAAACAATGGAGTAGTGGTTTGTAGCCAACCTGTCGGGCCTATCAGTCGTAGAATGGGTGTACATGGCGTTGTACCAGAATCAGCTGGTGGGAAGTTCGCTCGGACACATTTCTTACGCTTAAACTACAATTCTGTCACGAATACAAGTCTAGTCATATGTCGTCTATTCACTGGGCGTACACATCAAATCCGAGTACATGTGCAGTACTTAGGTAATAAAATACATCATATAACTTGTATCCGTACATTTTTGGTACAGTTATAAATCTTTGTAAATGTACGCAATGTTGAATTATTTCTTAAGAATAGTCTTAACTTAGAATGAGCAACGAAAACACAATAACCTTGTTATTAACCACCTTCTAATCAATGTTGGAAGCTTCAGATGGTATTACTCGTAGTCGGTGGCACTGACCCACTCATTATTACTTTAATTCCATAACTATCATCTTAATTTCATTCGTCTTTTTTTAAATTTTCTATTCCTTTTGGTTTTTACTGTTGTTTGCACTGAGTTAACTCTGAAGATTATAATCGACACTACGTACTATATTGTCAGCCGAACCGGTGAACTATGTCACGAGTTTACACAATCTAGACCTTAACGCTTATCGGTGCTCGCGCCCCTTCTAACCCAGTGGCCAATCAGAAGACGATGACCGAAGGCAGACTAACTGTTGTCCGATCCGATCATGACAAAAACCTATACAATAATATGCTGAAAATGCCTAACCACATAACGCGCCAAACAACAAATTACACTTTAAGCACAATCATGCCATAAGTGGTAGAGGGTCGAAACAAGCAGTACATAATTAACTAACATTAATTACAGAAAAGTAAAGGATATTAGTGACAATCCGCTGAAAGTTTACAGTTACGGCGATGTAAAAATGCAGTAATAAAGTTATTGATTAATTATACAGTAACGATGTAAATATTAATAGTCCGGAAAATATGGCTGAAGGTCCCAACTTCTCCAATATTCTTTAGAGGCCCTATATCTGACTCCAATTAGATCGTATGAATGATTGTTGTCAAAATATACATCCTAGCTATCTACGTATATAATTATTGACTTAACTCGCGTTAGTAAGTAACGGAATTAAAATAAGTCAAATACGAGAAAGGATTTCGAATACGTATATTTTGTACTATTGATTCAGGCAGACGATCAAAGGAACGAAGCGAAACGAAATGATGCGTGGTGGAAAAAACATCTGAGCCAAATCAATTTAACCAAGCGTTAATCAATATTTATAGTCACACAAAAATAAGCTGCAGACGTGTGACGAGTAGGATAAAAAGTTTACATACACATGTTCATATAAAAACAGTCAAGGTTGATAAGCGAATAATTGACAATTTCAAAATGTAACTCAAGAAGAATGGATAAATTGGCCTATCCAGAAGCTAGAATAAGTTGTGTGGGCATAACATAGTAACCGACACTACAAATCGTTCTGTGTTAATGTCTTGTTTGGGTAAAAATGACTTCGTTCCTGCTTGTAATGACTGTTATCCCCGTGTTATTTCTGTTTAGGTTATCCGATTGTTGATGATCCCCTATACAATTCAGCTGATTGGGGTGAATTAAAAGGGAAAGGTGCTAATTATGGAATGACTCTAGAAGAAGTTGTCCAAAGATTGAGTGATTCTCGTAACAGGGAAAAGTACAGAATCCAAGAGGTAGGACTCTTCTTGAATTTCATATTATGCTAGTTTTTCGTGATTTCATTGCTACCACTTGTTCTGAATTGTGGTTTCTCATCGTTTTTGAAACTTTCTCTTTACAAACAAATCCGCATAATTTATTCATGAATGGTTGCACTTAAAATTCTTTGGACATGGTAACATTTAAATACTACTTAGAATAACAGTAATCGGAACCAGTTACTTCACTAGTTTGAACGTAATCTAGATTTCTTTACTCTTCAAAGCAAACATTTCATCTAATTAATTCAAAGTATATATGTTTTAGCGTCCAGGTAAGTAGGTACTCAGTGCAAAACTTTCAAACTGGATTATTAAAATGTTTTCAGTAATCCTTTAAAGTTTGGATTCCACATCTGTTCCAAATTCAATTCAAATTGCCCTTCAGTTGCAAGCTGGTTTGCTCTCTGCCACTGTAGATTGTTTCTGATAGTATCCGGCCGATGGATGTGGCGTATCTTGCGTGGAAAATTGTTTTTAAGTACCTATACTTCTTTAGTGATAGCTACGATAGTTCTCAGAGTAAATTGCCGACTGACTGACTCAGAGTAACTTGCTTGGTACCAAAACCCAAAATCCAACTATGCTTAATCACAATACAAAGACTAGTTATGAAGGTTTATTTGACCTCAAACAAATTGAAATTATTCATGAATACACATTTCTATACTGATTTTACTCACACTTAATGATTGGTTCGTATTTATCACACGGAAGAAATACACAGAATTACTTCAAAAACCCAAGCTACGAGTTTCACACTGAATTGATACAAAGAATATCATATCTGTTATATTCACCTCAGCTTAGCTCCTGTTTTACAATATATATTTTGTTTAGATTATTCCGATCCCTAATTCCATCGAGATAGGGTTAAAATTGCATTATTTAAACAGTCGCAGATAAAAATAAGAATATCATATGGATGTGTTTATATGATCAAGATTATCTCAACAACTTGAATCTAGAAAGAAAATTTTTTCATCAGTCCTACATATCCTGTCGAGTTAATTGATGCAACAGGCTTTTGTTTATAGTAGTACACCATGATGCAATGAAAAATTATTATTTGTTTTTTCTCACTATGAACTGTTCGTGTACACATGCAACTTTGTCAAACCTACTTATACGTGATCAATCAGTTGGCATCAATAAGCCATACATAAACATTGTAATTCGAAGCTGAATATATAAACATGTGCTTTGTAAATTGATCATACTATTTGTTTGCTTATTTGTCTTAGTCTAAAACTAAATGGCTCAGTAAAAATCACTAGTTTGTTGTAATGTAGCTCATTCACCAAGTACAAATTTGTGTACTCGGCTTTTAGTCAAACCTTATGTGTAAGTGGTACCCATACTCAAAAAAGCGGAGAGGGACTTGGCCCACTGTAACCTAATGGTTGAAATCCTAACTCCTTAATCACTAAGCCAATGGCCCACCAGAGTACGCAACTAACTACTTATATTTGAGATTGTCAATTATCACTACTTTGTCATTTATGTCGCATCGTATCACTCTTAAAGGTGATTTATCTTTGGTTTTTTCTTCAGACCGATGAAAAGTTGGAAAGTTCTCTTGATCCAAATGTATTAGAGCGTCTGCAATTGTGTAAAGATCCCTTATGCCCTGATTGCAAGCTTACTTTCAAGGATCCAAAAATGAATAACTTAATACTACGACTGCACGCTTATCGTTATAGTGGATCTGATTGGTGCTATTCTGCACCTTTACCCAGTTGGGTTATAAATGAGAATGTACCAGACTTGCATGGTGCAATAGAAGAGGCAATGAAACAGTTATAAATATTTGTGGGTATATTAGTTTTTCTCCATGTTTGTTTAGTTTGTTCTATATCATTTGAAATATTCATGCGTACCATATATCAGTCAGTCAGTTACAGCGTAGGACCAGGTGCATATATGTGCATCGGTCCAAGTTGCCACACCTCATTAGCACAACAAGATAAACACCAAATTCATAGTAGTTACTTTAATGGTAATAATATATAAAAGAAAGATTGCATATCAGGACATAGCGCAGGACGAAAGAATTAGTTCGTAGAAAGGAAAATATAAAGTAATTTTAATCTCATAGTTTAAGGAAAGACAGAGTGTATAGACCTAAACTATGTCACCCAGAGTCTCCAACCATTGATTACGATAGCTACGCGGACCCCAACCAAATAGTCTGCATCTACCAACATGGCTAAGACTAGAAGTTAGTAACTTCAAGCACTGATGCCAAATTTTAGTTTGGCCACCCCTAACTTTCTTCCAATCATCCACAACACTCGTCAACATTGTGCGTCGTAATCGGTGTTCAGGCATACGTAACACGTGCCCCAACCATCTTAGCCAGTGAAGATTTACAACGTCATCAACAGATATACCATTATTCCCTAATACCCTGCGTCTAACCTCACTATTACTTATCCGGTGATCCCAGCAGATGAGAGCAATATTTCTAAGGCATCTGTGGTAAAATACTAGTAGCTTACGAGTATTTTCTACTCTTAATGGACACGTTTCTCTGCCGTCATATAGAACATTAGCGAACTACTGCACAGTATACTCGTCCCTTAATTGAGATACGGATATCTCGCCTTCGCCATAGGTGACGTACGTTGGCAAAAGTCAAACGAGCTTTTCGAATTCGTGCTGAGATTTCGTCAGACACCAACTCATTAGGGCTGATCAGACTTCCAAAATAAGTGTTATATTTCTCTCTTACGGTTATGATCCAGCTATTCCTATTGCTTAGTATTCTTGGACACTAAATCACTCGACAAGTCCCCAAATCAGAACACGGTTGAAAAGGAAAGAAATTATATTCCAAATAACAAGGTTAGATGGAGGCAAGAAGCACATTATGGAAAACGTTAGTATATTTATACTACTTACATGAGAAGATTCTAGAGTATTCTCCAAGTATCGACTAGTGCTGATTGAATAAGAATTAGCCAATTAGCGTGCACCAAAGCAACCGTGCATTGAGCATGCTTTAATCCAGTCTATGTCCCGCTAACAATAAGTGACGTTGTCGACGTGTTCGATAAGTGGAACACGAATATGAATAGTTTAGTTATTTAACAATGATACGATAAAAATATACGTATAGTATTGGTCCATAAATGGATCCCTGAAGTTACCATTCCTTTTCTCATCGGGATATAACAATAACACAGACTTTTTTTATCTTATTTTACGCATTCGGTTTCCTCACTTTCCCTTTATCAGAGTAATTGGTTTTGTTCCCTCAGTTGACTTTCTGTTTACTAAGTTTGGTTGCTTAAATTAATAGGTAATTATGATAGGTTCCGAAAATGAAATGCAATTTTCAGTGTATTGATCAAATTCGATTATGTTTCTTACAACAATGAACATATTGTAAAAGTTGAAACTGGTTTTCCGAATTAATATGGATTATAATCTTTTCATATGATTGCTGAGTAACTAGATTAATATATATATACGTCCCATCTATCGTAAGCTCCCGCTCCACTTATTAACTCGTGTCGTACGTCTTAGTATTATTATATTTTTTGTCAGTCTGTTATTTACAGCCCTTTTTAGCTTGTCCATGTCTAATTGTTATTTCCAATTATATGGTGTGATCTGGGCCACTATGTTTGCATACAAACCAAATCTATTTGAAGTATTTAACACAGGCTGGCTTCTGCACTCAAGCATAGAGCATAGAGAGAAACTAGAGAATCCTGAACAGAAAGAAACGTAGCTGTTGATTCAAAATTAATAGTACTGGTCGGACTTGTAACTGAACAACTCAGAGACACTTAGCCATAGAGTAAATAAGGGATCTTATTAGAATTATAATTCTCATTAGTGACTAGTCATGTGATTTTTATCAGCAGTCTCCCGGACGTAATATTCATTTTATTTATTACCTATAAAATGTCCAACTAATTTATTGTTAAAATATCAATGCAAAATAGGGATTTTAGTAGTTGATTTGTTTACTTCCTATTTCAGCTTCTAAAATTAATTGTTTTGTTTGATGCAGTACTTCATGAATTACATACAGAAGATATGCTACTGTTACGAATTTAGCGTTCACTGAAACATAACGGATTCAGTTTTAAGACACCCCATAATAAAAAATATCAAAATACGCTACTACGTACCTTCGTAAGACCTAACCGAATGAATCCTTATAACAAACATGTTTCCGTGACCTGCTCACGATTTGTTAAAACTATACTAAACAGACTCTACTCACTGACCTGAAATGTGACCTCGTGACTAGCCAGTCAAAATGTAGCTTTTGTGAGAGTCCTAAAATCCAAAACGTTGGTAGGATTATACAGCATTAGAAGCTGATTAATGGTTGTATTGAGGGTAAATATCGATAAATCAAGCAGGAAGTCCTACTACTATAAGCTGCCATTAAAATAAATCCCTAACCCTAACACTCCTTAATCTAATTCCTAGCACCTAATGCTCGTAATCTTTGCACTCCTAACACAGAAATACTGATTGCAGTTTATTCTACAAGAAAATCATCATCTAGTCTTTTCAAAGAATGAACTGTAGCCAAAAACGTAGGTCTCGACAACGAGCTACTCGTAATAGCATGTAAAATTCGCGCTAATATCCAACGTCGACTATCCCAATTTTGATTGGCTTTTCAAGACCGCCGGCATATTGTAGTATTACCATACGTTTTAATGTTGCGCCAACCAGAATAAACCATTCACAGGTTTTCTCATAGGGATATCATATTTGATTAAAAATGTTAATCATGACTTACCATATTGTCTTCCATTATCGATGAAACTTATTGAAGCACAGAAGAACAGCTGGCGGAAAATGACGGCAATCAATTCAAGTATGATTGCTACGTTCATTTTATACTTCTTCCCCTTTAGATATGATCTCACAATCCTACATCCTTCTCATTTTGAATCATTATGTTAACTCACGTTATTCACTTAGACTATATACCTGTCTATTTAAATAGTAATAAAAAATAAATAAAAAGGTATATGACAGTTAAATGGGCAGTTGGAATACTGTTGGTTTTTTCTATTTCGTTAAAATTCTACGTTGTGTAAGATTGACTACTGACTTTTGGTATATTTGGATAGTGTAATAAAGAGATGATTATCAGAACTACGTGATATATTGGCACAATAAATTCCTAACGATCTGATCACACATATAGTTTCAAGATACTCAACACTCATTTCCTCGTTTCATTAAGAATATCTACGTAAAAACAATTCACTATAAGCAAAAGCAAGTTTCTTTAATGAAAACATTGATCAAAATAGAACTGATAAGTTTGATGAGATAGACTGATTATAAAATTATTAACAAGAAAAAAATGCAGTCTTAAATCATCGATATGTCTTGTAGTGGCTGTGCTTCGTTGACCAATCACCTTCGTAACCGTTATAATCTAATCCTCAACGGTGTTTGAAATCAGAAGGCAGAGTCAGCGAACCGAGAGTGTAGTGTTAAATATATATATATGAAAATGAATGGATCGTCGAATCAATAAAGCTAGCAGAATGAATATATGCGTAGGCGGTAAGAAATGTTCAAACATACATACTTCATACAAGCACAATAATAATAAAGGTACAATAAGCTGTTATAGTACGGATGACTTTGTCCACTAAATAAGTTAACAAAAGGGCTTAACTGAGTTAAATGAGAACAAACTCAATCGCACGTGAGTTGCTCTAGTGTCTTAGATATTTTTTCAGAATTGTATTGTACCCAACGTTGTTCGATGACTGTTTAATAAATTAATTTATTCAAATATTGCTTTATCACATATTTCAGTGCATTCAAATTCATTTTGTATCGTTTGTTTGAATCTTCTTATTGGTGTTTATGACTGCAATTGATCAGTCTCTTATTGGCGTATGTGAATCCTATACAGATTGCTTCGATATTGCCTTAAGTCACGAGCATTATAAGCAAAGGTGGATGGTGGCTGGCAGTAGAATCCAGCAGGTGCGTTTTGTCCTATTTGAGACTCGTCAGCTGGATGTACCTCCATCCCAGAATTGTTCACTCAGTAACTCGACACTGATCAATTGCAGTCCTAAACATCAATGGGAAGATTCAAGCAAACAATAAAAAATGAATTCAAACTTCACTTCGTTGCACAAGCCAGTGGCTATCAGGACTCAGTAGTCAAGTGGGTAACGCGATGGCGCTTGAAGCGAACGGTATTCGATTCGATTCTTGGAGTGAACACCAATTCTCGGGTGCAGGTGCATCCGGCTGACAAGTCCCAAATAGGTCGAAACGCGCGTCCTGGATTCCACTACTAGCCACCATCCATATTTTCAGTACATTTTTTATGAATTATTTTACTGTGTAAGAGAGAACTTATAGGATTTATAATTTGTGATTTAATCTTATATCATTACAATAAAGTCCGTTAATTCTCCAACACTATCGAAGTTTGTACACCTAATTAACAAAGTTAACCATCAATAAAGTCAATCAGGACAAAGACAGATTGGTTTTAAGAAAGAACTTCATTTTTTTAGCTCTAAAGGCGACAATTTATACTGTGTTGCTTGTAGTTTTGACAATAATTAGCAGTGGATTCTACAAAATCTACTTTGTCTTATATGAAATTTACCAACTGAATGCACCTCAACTTGAAAATTTATGTTCCATACTAGAACCCCAAACCCTTATTGTTTAATACCAACGTCAGATTATTCACCAGCCTATACATTAACGTCGAATGTTTCCAACTAAATAAATAACTTGTGATTAATACAATTTTCAAAACTAACTTTAACAGTTCTTTTTCATTAAATAATCCTATATTATTTCAAACATTCAATTGTATAACAAACTACCCAGCTATGATTCAACATTCTATACACTTAGTAGATTATAAACAAAGTGATCCCGGATACTGTTAGAGGTATGAAAACAGTTGTGTTTCCAACCCCTTGTACATTGAGCAGTATGACTTCACCTTCGTACCTTAAGTTGCTGATTTTAGTCTTACTACCCTCCAGCCGACCTATCTGTCATTGCAAAACCTAGGAAAACAACTGTTCTAGCTAATGTATGTCGACTAAGTTGTCAGAATACGCAACCTCGACCACTACGTCAAGGCAGCAGCTATAGTTAAACCTATACAATTGATTCACAGTCGTTATGTATTGAGAATTACACCAATAAACAATGTTCACGTCATATGGTTTTCCTTCTCTACGCCATCAAGACAAATACATGCTGTTTTATTCAGGTTTTTAATATACAGTACTACTAGTACATGGATGAGTCATGTGGTTACAATTTAAATATAAAACTGTCAAAAACCACTCAAGAAACACCGACACAATGACTCCGAACAAATTGATGTGAACTATGGTAGAATGAAATGCGCAAGGCTACAATATATGTATATATATTCCACTCTGCCAATTTACGTCAATTTGTTCCGAGTCATTGTATGTATAAATAGAATAAAATCAACATATTAAAGGAATGCTGATACTTGGTATAAAGTGATTAGTGTAGGAAAAATCAATACCACAAATTATACGGTATCTATAGTTTGAGTAGCATTAGTAAACTAGAAGTAAATCTGAACAGTGGCTGAATGATTAGATTAAATACAAGACACAAAATTGTAACGTTGCGCAGTATTGACTAGATATCTAAAGAATCGATGACCTATGACTTGAGTTGAAAAAGTAGTTCGGAAGAGTCCCTAGTTCGGACTATGGATTTATTTCAATGGCTATCATCGTTACATCATGAAGTGACCTAACTTATACAGCCAATAAAAATCAGTAACCACTGAGTAGCTGCACTCACTAGTCTTTAATCTTAACGGGTGATTCCCGGTGTTCTAATGAGAAGCCATAACCACTGAAGATGGATGATGGCCATATAATATTGTAAGTTTAATGAAGTTAGAAATCCAAACCATAAGTCGCTGTCTCATCTGGTGTAATTGCTCGTTACGAGATTTGGAGATCTGGGGTTCGATCCCCAGTACGTTTGTAGATACGCAATGCCGAGGAGTCCCACAGGAGGACGAAATTACTGTCCAGTGCTTCCTGGTTCTCAACGGTTATTTCGTGATGTTAGCTATGAGATTAAACACTCCACCAACCCATTACTTACCAAAAACGGTTAACAAAATTAATCAGGTGACTGAGGTGATCAGATTGGTAATTTATATCAGGAAATCAATATATAAATCCAAACTAAAAGACAGATACACTGGTCTTCACATGACCTGATACAACTGGTGAATAGAAGCTGTCACAGACAAATTCGTCAGCATAGACTGATTAAACGCTTGTAGAATAGTAATTAAACAAGGCATTTTTACGTCAACATGACACTGAACATTATGTCCAGAAGAACAACGAAAACTTTACAATCCAACCATTTAGCTTAGAGAATTCAATAAAATCAAAATAAAATAATCAGTCCTATTTCTTTATCAAATGGCTCCAAACACCAATACAGAAAAATATAATGATTACATTTAATTTGTTGAAGAGTTGTAATCTCATTTTATCAATTCAATATAAGTCATAACCGATAAAAAAGAATAAGGAATGGATTAAAAAACAGGGAAACAGAATACAAAACTTAATTTCACATTAAAATAGAGATTTACTTCTTCGTGTAATAACATAGAAATATAATATTCGGATAATGAAAATTCATACAACAGTAGAGTACGCATAAGACATCATTTCATTCGAGTGAAATTTATAGCTTTGATATGATCAAGTGGAAAATATAACCAAGTTACTTAACTAAAAAGAAAATTTACAAATATCTCTCTTGTTTAAGGAATTATTATCATATAAAATGGTCATTACAAATATGTATACAAGGATATGTATGTACGATTGATCAATATTTATTAACATCAAGATTCTGATGATCAGAATCTACACATTCGGCATTGTTGTCATTAACTGTGGAAATGTCTTTAGCAGAATTTCCAACTATAACCTGTTGTGATTGATGTCCAGATAATAAATATAATAAACATTGTTCCAGTAGTCTAACACATGAATCGAAACAAGGTCTGAAATATAGAAGAAAATTACTTCCATTATTAATATAACAAAGTTAATTGTTTTTGTCAAGTTGGATTGTGACATAAGTGCATCCTGAATGATCTTCAATTTAAACAAGAGTATTAATTAAAGTTTGGTTATGGATAGCAGCGGAATCGAAGACCCATATTTTGTCCTATTTACGACTCGTTAGCTAGATGTACCTGCATTGCTGTATTGGTGTTCTTCACACTGAGACCCGAATGCGAATTCGCTTCAGATCCCAACGCACTATCCATTGACCTACTGAGTCCATTAAACTACTAACTTGTTCAGCGGGCATAAATTTGTTTTGAAGTGCGCTTGGTTATTGTATTTTAGGATCTAATGGTTTAATATGTTTTGATGAACTGTCACTTTTATAGATAAACCAATCAGGATTAATGTGTATTAAAGATTTTTATGCGAAATTAAAGAGTAGTCCTGTAACAGCAACGAAAACACATTGGAGGAGGAAAGATTAACAGTTAATTGATGTGCTTCATTATTTATCTTGTGAACAGAGTCAAAAATGAAAACACCATGGATTAATGCTACAACTGCATAAGCAAAGTGAATGAATGGTTGTAAGCTGCTACTGGTTTGACGATTTGCACATTCTGTGCATTTACACTATACTTAGTGTGGTGGTTATACATCATCCACCTGAGCTAGAAATCTTCTCCACCATCTCAAAAACTAGTAACTTATTTTACTGACCCGGGATTTCTCGGTTGGTGTCCCTAGTTGTGTGGTTATTGTTAGCATGTTCTGAGTCCATTGTGAAGAAATTCTAATAGCTCACTTCATTTGAAGAAGAATTTCAACTGTTTCGGGTTGATAATAAGTTAACCATAGTAATATACCGTGGAGACAACCCGAAGAAAACATGGATACTATGACCGCTAAAACTCAACTATATCAGTTGTGAAGCAATTATTCAATAGTGGTCATATGATAACTGTTGAGCTATATCTCAAAGCTGGCTGATACTTGACAGTATATTGATTTCCCAATCATCAAAATAGAGAGAAAGTATTAAGGTATTTCTTCGTTGAGAGGGAGTAAATTACAAACTCTAATAAACAAAAAATTAGGTGAGACTATAATTTATGGACTACCTTCGGGCGACGCTAAACTGACCTTGAGAGTGTCCACCTAATAACTAGGACCAAAAATGAGGCTTAAAAACCAGTGCTAGGAATCAGAATTATGGTTGGCAGTTGATGATCAAGGTTAGGAATTAAATCTCGGGTTTTCATCACGAACTGACGTCAGCTATAATGCCAAAACTCCATTTATCCAAATGGATGAGTGAATTTCGCGCCAAAATTGGAGACCTGTTATTTTATACGTGATTAGTTCGTCCATAAATTATAGTCTCGTCAAAAATTACCAACCAGTAAATATGTGAAAGTGAAGTGGTAATATATGACGACGTAAAAGTACTCATCATCAATCGGAAAGTGAAATAAAACAACATGATACGCAGCGAGGAAGGTGAGTGAGCGGAAATGGTGTAACCAAGCCTTAATCGATATTTATAGTCACACAAAAATAAGCTACAGAAATGTGATGATTAGGATAAGTGGTGCATATATATGCGCTCACATAAAAACAGTCAAGGTTGATAAGTTACAAGGTCAAAATGTAGCTTGAGAAAAATGATTAAATTGGTCTGTGTACAGAAATGAGAATAACCTATGTGGGCTTGACATGTGGCCATTCACTACACATAAGCCAATTACTTCAAATTCACCAGAGAGATACAAGTGTGGCTAGACATCACATCAACTGATGTGGCTTAAGGTCGAGGACATTAACTTGAACATGGCAATTAAGTATATGCTATGTTGGTATGAGGAATCATTTGTGTATTTTAGAAAACTGTTTTTCTTGATGTAAACTTGATCCACATGACTGATCGTCTTTATTTAATATATAAATGAAATTATGAATAAATTTGAAGCAAAAATCCCACCTATTTCTTGGATCCAATGAAATGCATTGACTTGTCATGTTTAATAATATTGGTGGTGTATTGATAGGAAAATTTTCTAGCTTCATTAATTCATTCATTTCTATACACAAAGTTTTTGCATCACGTATTAAGTTATCTGGATCAGCATTTGTACGTAGAATTAATTGACACATAATTGTACCAAATGAATATACATCTACTGAATTATCATATGGTTGACCAGCTATCATTTCTGGAGCCATCCAGTATGGACTACCAACCTTTTTATAATTAATCATGAGGAAGAGGGAAACAAGAGAGTTATATACAGAAAAGGATATTTAAAATACAAGAACTTCATTATTTCAGTGAGTTATACAGGCTGGCACATATATGTATCGGTTCAAATTCACATACCATATCAACACAGGAAGATTAGATCATCGAACTAGTAGAAATAGCTATAGCGGAAAATTTTCAGATATAGCCAATATGATTAGAGAAGAAAGAATAAAATTGACCAGTAAAAATTATGAATATTTTAAGAAAAAGAGTGGAATATATAGGTCAATGTGACTGGTTTTGGTTAATGCCACTCAAGGTATCTAACCGATGGTTACGATAATTGCGCGGATCCTAACAAGGGAGCCTACATCTATTTAAACAGCTCGGTCCAGTAGTCAATAACTTTATGAACTGATGTTATATCTTGGTTTGGTTGCCTTTAGCTTTCTTCCAACGACTCCTATAATATTGTTCGTGAAGGTAGACAGTGGTTGGGTATACGCAATACATATCCTAATCACTTTAATCGTTGAATGTTTACTACTCATCGATTGGTTGACTATCTTTACCTAGTACTCTGCATTTAAACTCAGACATTTTTTATTTAAGACCAGTATAAATCATGGGTTTAGGGACAAAACTATCCAAGGTTATGTCGTTGGTCTGAACCTAAGTGGATTTAGGCAGATGTGATAATGGTGTGGTGAACAAGAATTTAGTTGAGGACAACCAAATTACCGAGTATCTTGCTGAAATATAAGAATCGTAAACTGAATACTTCATTTGAGAATTCCCATCATTTGTCTTTCACATTACGTATAATTCGTTCAGTCCACAATTCCTTTCAATTTTCCTTTTATTCTCTTCAACTCGATCTTTTTAGCCTTCAGCTACCAGGTTTTCCACTTTCGGTGTTACGTACTACTTATGTCGACAGACATAAGTAACATACACCACAGTAATATTAATAGTCTTCATATATAGCGTGATTTGCAGCTGAGCATATGAAATATTTGGTAAAAATAAATTATAATATTTAAATAATATTGGATTAATCGAAACAAGTTCATTAAAAATGGACTTTTGTATAAGTGTAGTGTATTTGTAGAATTGAATGATCTTATGGCTAATAAAAATGATTTTAGAAACAGTGAAATAGACTCTTATTAGTTTCCCTGAAAAACAGTGTTTTAATACCTTTGTTTATTCTACCTTACTGTTACTGTGGTGTGGGTTACTTATATCCACATAAGTAGTATACAACGGTGGTCAGGCATAGAATGTATTTTAGCAGAAGATTGATAAGGAAAGAACGGGAACGGAACGCAATTGGTATGAAAATGCATGAACGATGAAATCTGAGACAATACACTGATATTTAGAAAAGGAACAGTCAAGTTTGAGACGATGGATTGATATTTTGCAAATTAACTTACAGTGTCGGTTATTATGTTAAGCCCATATACTTTATTCTACATTTCGGACAGACCATTCTATTCATTCTACTTGAGTCACATTCTGACCTTGTTATTTATTCGCTTATCAATCTTCACTGTTTTATATGAGCGCGTAGGTGTTGTGTACATTTCTTATCCCATTACTCATCACATGTCTGTAACTTACTTTTGTGTAACCATAATTATTGATTAAAGCTTGGTTAAATGGGAGTTGGCTTACCAGCCATCTCCACTCTGCATTGTTTCTCTTCTTTCTATTCCATTCGCTTTACATACAAAAGATAAGTATTCACAAGTCCATTCTCGTTATTCGACTTACTTAATTCCGTTATTGATTAACGCAATTTAAGTCGATGACTATATACGAGGATAGGCGATAACAAACATTCTATACGATCTAATTGGAGTCAGATTCTCGAGCCACTAAAGTGAAGAGTCCTTTCGACATCGTTCTATCTAAACAACGACAAAAATAACGGGCCCCACAAACTACCTACTATATGATTCTCAGATTTTATTGAGATGCTCTGTAATTTCGAATCCAATACACTAAACTGTTTCCACTCGTGTTCTTGTTCACTAAATTCAACAAAATTTTATTGCCAATATTATTGTAATTATAATCATACTGTAGAAGTATGTATATTTGTGATTGTACAGCTCTGAAATAAATTTGCCGAAAACAGAACTCTCTAATGGACTAATCATTCTTATTTTATGTCTCAATAGGCATATTCTATTTACTAGAAACTGTTATAACGCTCGGTTTTACTTCGTCTAGTGTTATAACGGTTGGGTTTCCACTTTTACATGAATGGGACGTAAATAACCTTAGACGAATATCTACATTAGATTCCCTCCCAGTGTCTATTCCACAGGACTTCAACATGACTCAGATCAAGAACACGTGATTAGCCTGACCACAACGTAAATATATATTCCACACCAAAACCCGAAACAATCCAACAACAATGAACAATCAATAATAAGTGAGTAATGATAATAAGGATAGGGGAATATATAACTCGTCTGACTCCTATCAGACTATCTACATGTCTGACTAAGGAGACAACCAATCGCTATCATTCTCGCCCACACATCAGAAACATACTGTGTCATGAAGTTATTGTTAAAATGGTATAAAATTCGAGATCACATTGTAATTCAGTATGATACTTAAAATGGTATATTTTTGTCCAGTATATTTGTGGTGAGACTTTGATTTATGGACGACCCTGGAAAGATACTAAAGTGACCTCGAGAAAACCCACCTACCTACTACGATCGGAAGAAGGCCATAAATTCGTGTGAGAAATTAGGATCGGGATTTAGAGTTAGGAATTAAAGTTATCATCACGAAATGACATCAGACAGTGCTAAAACGTTAGGATAGACTCCACTTTCGTTCGTAATTTTGACCGTGCACCTGGCAACCAACCAAAATGAAGTAATCATTATATGCACTATCGTAAACCAAGATGGAGGGTATGTTTCGTTCTCTGTCGTTGTTGGTCGCTTACATGAAAATGTAAAGTTTTCTACGACGAAAATACTACTCTATAATGCTACGGACGTGTCAACGGTAGTGCACTCAAGTCATGATGGAAGAAAAATTACAACATGGCAAAAACCATATCTCCAATTTATCCTAAAATATAAATTACCCCAACATATCCACAATTGAGTAACTAAGTAAACGACATAATAACCGTAATTACTGACCACGACACACTCAGACGAACTAGGTCCTATTTTGCTATATAGGTGAATGAATTTCTCGCCGAAGTCCGAGACCTGACATCTTAAATCTAATTGGCTCGTCCAAAAATTATAGTCTTGCCATATTTGTTTTATTTCAGTGTAATATTTATTCAGTGTAATATCAAGAATTCATTTTGTTTTTGAGTCACAGTAAAATCCACTTATTAATATATATATTTCCATTATCTACAGTTGTATATGGATATTCATTATTGACTAATCATTGTTTTCCAGTGAAGTCTATGTATAAATGAGTGTGTTTAATCGCTATGTGTTTTAAAGGGTGATATAAAATTATTATCTATCATCAGTGATTATCATTTTTGTTTGCGTTGTGTAAACCTTAGTTTTGGTTTTCCAAATTGTACATGATATAGGATACAACTGGTTTAAGCTTTAAAACTGCTTTGACTATTCACTCTATGCATTTCACACTCATGTTTATTTCATTCAATATAGTGTTTAAGAGATCATAATATAACAGTATCAGCTCTCTTACCCAGTAACTAAGTGCATATACTAAGGGATAAAAAACAGTTTATGGTATGAAACACATATATTAAGCAACGTCAAAAAATACCCCTAGGATACTGAAATTATTTCATTTGGTTGAGTGAAATTACTTGAAACCAATAGATACTGACTTTTTAATGCTTAACAATCATTTCACTTACTACAGTATGTCTTCTTGGATGATTGTATGCATGATGACGTCTAAGACGAGGAGTATGATTACGTTGAACATCGGTGTTATTTGAAGTATCAGAAGAAGAATCTTGAATTGTTGATGCGGAGTCATTTATTGTTGTGTGATCGGAGCATTTTTCTTCTGTTTTCTGTCTACAAGACGGAATCGACTGAACTAATTTTGACAATCCAAAGTCAGACACAACTACTGAGTCATCCTAATGAAAAGGAAATGAGAAAACTTTGTAGAACGCTATTTTAATTCTTTTCAACAATCAATTCATAAGACTAATTAGTCAGAAAGACATCAAATGAATGATATTATGATGAATAAAACTTTCGGGACCAACTTATTGCAGACTTTAGTAGGTGACACAACAAAAAACAATTTTGGTTGTTTTTTTGTGTGGGAAAAACCATGATAATTAGTTTAAATAAAGTGACAATTGTTTTGTATTATAACTATTAAGGGATTATAATATACGGTTGTCATAAAAAAATGGTTAGAACAATGTAATCCTTTCAGGGTACACATACCAACAAAGACTGATCAGAATTCAGCCGTTATCATCAACAATGAGGTAATAGACTTTTACCGATAGCACAAGATAACGCACCTGTTGAACAAGTTGGTGGGTAACTGGACAGAATAGCTGTCAGCAGATAACTCGACGTCTGAAGTAAAAAGTATTGGGTTCGAGTCCCATTGTGAAGAACATCAAATAATGGGATGGAGGTATATCTAGATGATGGGTCCTATGTAGGACGAGAAGAAAATCCTGGATTCCAATCCTGATATTCTAAGGAAGTGGTATCCAAGAGATTTCGGAGTGGACAGTGACCATAAATGTAAAATGTTATACGGTGCATGGGTTTTAGCGGCTTCCGTTTCTCATTATGGGAGATCTTATTAAAATTCACTGTACTCTTATTTACAGCATCAAAGTGGTATGCTCCAATGGTACACGTAAGTTTTAAAATCCCTCTTATAAGGTAAAGGACAGAAAATTTAACAATAACAATCGACTATATAAGTTGAAGATTAAAAATTAGTTATGGAGTATAGATCACATAGCAATATAAAACGCAGAGATTTCAGCTGGTATAAAGTAATTGGGTGCTGGTCAAATCATACTGATCAAGTTGCAGTGTGGTCGTTGTGACTTCAGTCACTGTGATTAATCATTGCAAATATTTTAATTCTACAGGAGGTCAGTCACCACTCGACTAGCTCAACGATACCGTTTTAAACTATGATGCTGGTTGATGCAGCCTCGAATCCCACTAGGACAATTAGCTACCTAGAAGTTAGAGGTACGGGTTGTTTATAAGCGCCAGATGGCACGAAATCCAAGTCCGTAGTCCTCAGCCGACTAATTTCAGCCACTTAACATCAAAACAAGGTTAGTAGTTTTACTGACCATGCAATTTGATCTAAGAGTACCGTAGCAACGGCAAAAAATGGAGTAAAAATTAGGTTCACCAGCCATTTATTTCATTATGATCCCAAAACTTACGTACATTCCTACTAGTTTGGAATTAAACTTTTCAAACTAACATTTATTTGAACCCACACTACTAAATGATTCGATTAAAACAGTTTGACGTTATCTACTTCAATCTTGTTTGGTTTCAATTATATTTTTTTGTTGAAAGAACTGTTTCTTTTAAGAAAAGAAATTTAAATAATACTAATAACGTTTCAAATCGTTAACACAATGAATAATGTTGATAAATAGTGTTTAATTAGCTTACTCGTCGTACAAGACAATTAAGAGTTGTTAAATCCCGATGTATAACATCATGTTTATGTAAATAAGCCTAAAAGTCGCATTAATAAAAATACAAATCGTGTTAATTCACAAAGAATAAATATTTTTTTTGGTATTTTATTTACAATTAATGTAAACTGTTACATTATTTAATATTTTCATGGTTCAGAAACATTACTTACTTACTTACGCCAGTTACTCTCAAAGGAGCATAGGTTGCCAACCAACATTCTCCAGCTAACGCTGTCCTGGGCCTTCCTTTCCAGCTCTGTCCAATTTTTCTCATGCCTGTCTCCATTTCTCGGCTTAATGTGTTCTTTGGTCTTCCTCTTCTCCTCCTTTGGCCGTGGGGATTCCATGTGAGGGTTTGCCTTGTGACGCAGTTGAGTGCTTTCCTCAATGTGTGTCCTATCCACTTCCAGTGATTCTTTCTGAGTCCTTCCTCCATTGGGATCTGGTTTGTTCCCTCCCACAGTAGGTTGTCGCTGATAGTGTCTGGCCAACGTATCCGAAGTATTTTGCGTAGACAGCTATTAATAAACACTTGTATCTTCTGGATGATGTCTTTCGTAGTTCTCCAAGTTTCCACCCCATACAGTAGAACTGTCTTGACATTTGTATTGAAAATTCTGACTTTGGTGTTGGTTGACAGACAATTGTTTTGAGTTTCAGATGTTCTTCAATTGTAGATGTGTTGTTCTTGCTTTGCCGATCCGCGCCTTCAAATCTGCATCAAATCCACCGTGTTCATCAATGATGCTGCCCAAATATGTAAATGTTTTTACATCTTCCAAATCTTCTCCGTCAATTGTGATTGGATTGATGCATGCTGTGTTGTATCGGAAAATCTTGCTTTTCCCTTTGTGTATGTTGAGACCTACTGCTGCTGAGGCTGCTGCTACACTGGTTCTCTTCTCCTTCATTTGTTGATGAGTGTGCAATAGGAGAGCCAGATCATTTGCGAAGTCTAGATCGTCCAGCTGCATCCTATCTGTCCACTGTATCCCATGCTTCCCCTCAGATGTTGATGTCTTCATGATCCAGTCAATCACCAGGAGAAAGAGGAAGGTTGAGAGTAAGCAACCTTGACTTACACCGGTCTTTACCTCGAACGAGTCTGTCAGTTGTCCTCCGTGCATGATTTTACGGTTTAATTCATCACAGGAATTCCGTATGATATTGACTATCTTCTGAGACACACTGTAGTGTCGAAGGAGCTTCCATGTTGTCCTGTCCACGCTATCAAACGCTTTCTCGTAGTCAATGTTGATATAGAGCGATGAATTTCATTCCATTGATTGTTCCACAGGTTCAGAAACATGGTATATTACAAAATATTTACTTGCAATAAAATAATGTTCTACAGTATATTTTCTTCTTTATGATGATGATGATGATCTTGGAAAAATCTTTTAAACTGTCAACATTATACTGATTATTTATTATAAACGGAACCAACCATTTAAGAACATCGCATATTTGTCTTTCAGGTCTCTGACAGATTTATCACGATAGGAACAGAACGGAATTTCTTTAGATCCATTTATGAATTGTAAGCAAGGTATTTAAGGACCTAGATATTAGTTTCGAGAGATTCTTGATAATTTAATATAATTAATAACCGTAGATAGGGTAACCAGTTCACATATTTCTAGTTGCCAAGACACAGTAAAAAAATATTACGTTAGCCTCTGTATACGATAAAACTTATTATTCAAACAAAATAAAGCGTCATTTTTAAATGAACAAACATTTAATCAAGTTACCCAATTAATTTTACAATAACACAATCGAGTAACTAAATACAGGTTCATAATCAGTCTTTTGGTCAAATATTCTTATGTGAAACGAAGGTGAATATCTTGTTGTTAAGACTGACAGAGCAAAACTCAAAAAATGAGAACCAAAGGTAGTCTTTCAACAAGTACCTACCCATCGTTCAATTATGTGTTCACTAATGTGTATTTAAACATTGGGAATTTAACGAAATTAGTATTATTGACAAAAGTTTATATTTAATTGACAAAAGTATTCACTTAATAATTACAGTATATTTCGTTTCTCATTATAGATGAACAAATAAAATTTATCATTATAATGAATACGTTAACATTAAAAGAGTATGCTAATCATAATGTAATCCGCATTACTTTCTTTATTATCTATTTTTTCTTTTATCTTCTAAATTGTTTAGTTGACATTTATTCTTTCATTTATAAATTGATTAACACATAAATATATGACCAGACTGTTTGAAATATACTAATCTGATATATCACATAGTTCTAATAAATTTCATCTTCTTAACGCATTATCTAGATTTATCAAATAGTCTGTTTATTTATTATAATCATAATAATTACACCTTAACAACAATAATAAGCTGCAACGTAGGACCAAACACATATATGTATCGGTCTAAGTTGCCATTCCTCAATAGCACAAGAAGATGAATACCGAATTCATAGAAGTAGTTAATTCAATCGTAGTAGTATACAAAAGAAAGATTGCATATAAGAATATAGTACAGGAAGAAAGAATTAGTTGATAGAAAGAAAAATATAATGCATTTTTAATCTCATAGTTTAAGGAAAGACAGATAGTGTATACACCTGAACCATGTCACACAGAGTCTCCAACCATTGATTACGATAGCTACGCGGACCGCAACCAAGTAGTCTGCATCTACCAACATGCCCGACCGTTGTTGCTACCTTGACGTGGTGGTCGGGTTTGCCTATCGTGATGAAGCAACCGAGCTATACTGGCTGGAACAACCGTTCCTCAAGGTCCTACCATGTCAGACAGGTCGGTTGAAGAGCGGTAAGACTAAAAGCAACAAACCCAAGGTCCGAAGGCGAAGTCGTACTGCTGACTGTACAGAGGTGTGACAGCAGTAAGGTGTTTCCTTCAGACAACCAGCATGACAGCGATGCTGCCTTCCCACAAGGAGGGGTGGTTTGGTTAGAAAAGGTCGACCCTAAAAATGCACACCTCGCCTTTTTATCCCACGGATATCCGTCTCCGGCGGTAAGGTCTCAATAAGTACGGAGCTAACACAAAAATTACCCATAACAAGGTCGTGTGTGACCGACCTCAAGCAGTTGTCCCTTGGGCACTGCGGTCACGCTCTCAGGTCACTAAGACCACCTTTAATCCAATTTCCTTTTCAGGTACCTCCAGAACAACCCTTCCACGGTGTGGGCAACCGGGAAGTGATAACCGCCCTCATTTACTTCTAACAGCACTCAAGACCACTGTATTCATAATCAACCTCCTCTTCAATTCCTATTATTCCTCCTACATCGACTTTCAACTCTATTTCCTCTTTCGGCTTCCACCTCAAGTGTCACCATAGCCAACGATTCTAGTGCGCAAAACACTGTCCCAGGTCTACTGAAACCTCGCTCCAAACTACACATTGGAGCCTTCAACGTACGCACCCTATGTCAAATCGGTCAGCAGGCTTCCTTGGCTAAAACCCTAGAGTCTCTTTCCATTGATGTATGCTGTGTCTCCGAAACACGCATACAGGATTCCAGTGTGGTCATTCACTTGACCTCACCTCGGCAAAACGGAGAGCCAACGAGATACACCCTTCGTGTACCTGGTGACCCGATGGCAAGTTCTCGTGGACTGGCAGGTGTAGGCATAGCACTAAGCATGAGGGCCGAACAAGCACTGCTAGAGTGGATCCCCGTCAACAGTCGTCTATGTGCTGTTCGGCTGAACGGCTACGTAAGAACTCGGAAGGATAGGGACACACGTCGTTGCCTTTTTGTCGTTTCTGCCTACGCTCCCACTGACTGCAGCTCAGATGAAGTGAAAGATGAATTTTACAGAAAGCTGTCCGAACTTCTTCAGAAAGCTAAACGCTCAGACATAGTACTCGTAGGGGGTGATTTTAATGCTCAGATAGGCAGTTTAAACCAAACAGAAAGGCATTTAGGTGGATATTTTAGTATTCCGACACAGCGAACAGATAATGGTGATCGTCTGCTGCAGCTATGCTCAGACAATCGTTTATTTTTAGCAAACACAAATTTTAAGCATAAGGAGAGACATCGTCTAACATGGCGACCCCCTACACCAAACCAACGATGGACTCAAATAGACCATATTGCCATCAGTCATCGTTGGAGAGGGTCGGTAGAAGATTGTCGCTCATTCTGGAGTACCTGCTTGGACTCCGACCATGCCCTAATACGGGCACGCATCTGCTTGCGCCTCACTGGACGCAAAAAAGCCACATTAAAAAGACCCATTAGAACTGAGTTGAGTAACGAGAAAACCAAAAGTAGGTTCCAGGAACAACTGAGGTCACACTTAGGTAGTTGTGAAGACGAGGCTGACCCAGATGTTGCTTGGAAGGACATACAAGCAGCTGTGGAAACAGCAGTGACATCTATTAGTGACTTAAACCACAGAGTTACAAGGAACCAGTGGATTTCTTCAAGGTCTGTCACACTGATGGATTCTCGCAAACTCGTCCCATCAGGTTCTGAACATGATGAAGAGCGACAACAAATCAGATCTAGGTTAAGAAAAAGTCTAAGGAACGACCGTGAGCAGTGGTGGGTAACGAAAGCAAAAGAGAAAAGGCGGCGACTATAGGGAACACAAGACAGCTTTACAGACTAATAAAAGAAACTGGAACTAATAAGTCAAGTGTAAGTGAGATTATTTCGGAAAAAGACGATACTCTCATCTGCTCCCAGTCCAGACGTTTAGAACGATGGGCGGAACATTTTAGAGAACAGTTCAGCTGGCCTTCAGCTACTCTACAACTACCCTCCATTCCCAGACAGTGTGAATGGAACATTGAAGTAGGTCCCCCAACTCTTGCTGAAGTTGAAAAGGCTATAGTTAATCTGAAACGAGGAAGGGCAGCTGGTCCAGATGGATTGGCTCCAGAGGTCTTTAAGGATGGTGGTCCAATTTTAGCGATTAGGTTGACTAATATTTTAGCTAAGATCTGGGAGTTAGACGTTATCCCATCTGACTGGTCGCAATCACTTATCGTCCCAATATATAAGAAAGGGTCAAAATCATCCTGTGACAACCACAGAGGGATTAGTTTAACAAATATAGTATCTAAAATACTGGCCTCGATAATTATCAAACGCCTAACTAAGACTCGTGAACTGCAAACACGAGAGAACCAAGCTGGCTTTAGACCTGGTCGTGGCTGCATCGACCACATATTCACCATTCGTCAGGTTCTAGAACACAGGCATACTTATCGGCGTCCGACGATGGTGGTCTTTCTTGACTTAAAAGCAGCATTTGACTCTGTAGACCGCGAGATTCTGTGGCAGTGTCTGTCATTGAAAGGCGTACCTCAGAAGTACATAAACCTTGTGAAGGCTCTTTACTCGAACACTACTAGTCGAGTCAGGGCTTATGGCGAACTGTCATCTAATTTTGCAACCTCAAGTGGTGTCCGTCAAGGCTGTCCACTTTCTCCATTTTTGTTTAACTTCATCATAGATGGAAATAACACTCTCGTCGACTGAATTTCCGGGTATTGGTCACATCCTAGGAGGTCCACTTATCGACTTAGAATACGCAGATGACATAGTCCTGTTTGGTGAAGACGCTGACAAAATGCAGAGTCTTCTGGTAGCACTAAGCAACAATGCCAGAATGTTTGGAATGCGCTTCTCTCCCTCTAAATGCAAGTTGTTGCTTCAGGACTGGTCTGCGTCAACACCTGAACTAAGGATAGGGAGTGAAGTAGTCGAATGCGTTGACAACTTCACTTATCTTGGAAGTCTGATCAGCCCTAATGGGTTGGTGTCTGACGAAATCTCAGCACGGATTCGAAAAGCTCGTTTGGCTTTTGCCAACTTACGTCACCTATGGCGAAGGCGAGATATCCGTCTATCAATAAAAGGACGAGTATACTGCGCGGCAGTCCGTTCTGTTTTAATTTACGGCAGCGAAACATGGCCATTAAGAGTAGAAGACACTCGTAAGCTATTAGTATTTGACCACAGATGCCTTAGAAATATTGCTGGCGTATGCTGGGATCACCGGGTAAGTAATAGTGAGGTTAGACGCAGGGTATTAGGAAATGATGGTAAATCAGTTGATGAGGTTATGAATCTTCATTGACTGAGATGGTTGCATAAAATGACCGTAACTCGATAGATTATTACAGGCGTCTTTTGTATCCCCTAAATCATGACTTGTGGACGAACCAATGTAAGTAAAGATGGCCAATCTTTTACTTTGTCTTGAAATATACTCACCTATATAGTTAAAGCGCATTTTGGCATAATATTTGATATCAATTCGTGATGAAAAACTTACTTGAATTCTGAATGTAAGTATTGATCCCAATTCCCTATACTTATTTGTTAACTCCATTCGACTCTGGTGGGCAGGTAGGTTTTCTCCAAGTCACTACCATCGCCCAGATGTTTTAAAAGGCAAGGTCGTCCATAGTTTTATTGTCTA